CAAGCCTACTCCACCATTCTACCAGATCGTGACTGATCTTCCACTTCAACACCACCTTCTCGCATTATCTCCATAATCCTTGACATATTTAATACATAAAATCACTGTCTCAAATATTGTTATGACACCAGTTAATAAAAAGCAATCATATTCTTACTGGCCCAAAGGGCTGCTCTCTCAACTAGCAAAAGATGATTGATGGCGTTTTAACCTGAGGGTCACAGGGCTCAGGTAAGGAGAGAGGTTGAATTGGAGCATCCTTCATGGTAATTTTGGCCAGTGTGGGAATTGAACCTGTGTCATTAGCATCACTCTGCATTGCTAACCAACCAGCCAGTCAACTCAGCTACATAATAACAACAACAACGTTCTGAGGAAGGGTCACCGGACCCGAAACGTTAACTCTGTTTTCTCCTCCACAGATACTGCCAGACCTGCTGAGCTTTCCAGCAACTTTGTTTTTGTTCAGCTACATAATAATGCGGGACAAATTAAATGTCAATGTGAAACCTGGCTTGATAGACTTTTTTTTGATTTTTGGTTAGCGTGATTGTTAGTCATTGAACTTAGTCATGTGTGACTGCCAATGTTCTTCTAACTTTTGACTTTAGTTCTGTGTTTAAACTGATCAGAAAGTTATTCTTGTACAGTGAGTTCAAGCATAATTTCCAAGAAAGTGGTGATTTAAACCAAATTATTAGATAAACTGATGATTAGTTAATTGATGAAATGATAATAAATTTAAACATTTGCGCAAACATAAAATAGACAAGTAAACAAAGCAGGTAACTGGTGTCGGTTTCTTTTCTCCCTCAGGAATGCTCTGCAATGGGGAGAATCGTGTTTTGTGAATGTAAAGAAAATTGCCTAAAGGAAACGTGTACAACTTGGTCAGTTAAGTTAGAAATTAGAGTTGAGATAGTTGTGGTATTTTACTGAGGTTGTTTGTCTGCAAAGGATATTGCTAGGGAAAAAAAAGTCCTTTGCTGTTTATGTTAAGATGTTTCAAAATTGTTGCATTTATCTTTGCTTTGTTTCTTTTGTGTAATAAACTTGTATTCTTTTGTTAAAAAATCGATCTATCTCGTTTCGTTAAATTTATTCAGTATCCCAACGTCTACTGCACCCTGGGGTAATAAATTCTACAGATTCATGATCCTTTGACAGAAGTAATTCCTCCCTAACTTTGTCTTAAATCTGCTACTCCTTAGCCTTAAAACTAAGACCTCTCATTCTAGATTGTCCACGAGGGGAAGCATCAATGTCTACTTTGACAATTGTCTTTATCATCTCATCACTGCAATGAGACCCCCTCTCATTCTTCTGAATTCTAGCGGATACAGGCCTAAAATGCCCAATCCTCCTTATAAGTCAAACCTTTCACCTCTGGAAATCATCTAGTGATCCTTCTCTGAACTGCCTCCAATGCAATTACATCCTTCCTGAAATAAGGGGGCCAAAACTACACACTACCCCAGATTGGGTTTCAATACTGCCTTGTACAATTGCATCAACTCTTCCCTGATGTTATCCTCCGTTCCTTTGGCAATAAATTCTAAAATTCCATTTGCCCTCCTTATTACCTGATGTACCTGCACAGTAACTTTTGTGATTCATGCACAAGGACGCACAGATATTTTCACATTAAAGCAGTTTGAAATCTCCCTTCAGTTAGGTAGTGAGTTGTCTTTTTATTCTTTCAACCAAAATCTATAACCTCACAATATCTTTTATCTCAGAGACATAAATTTTTGGTTCAAACCCCTCTCTGGAGATAGTCAATCTAATTTATCATTCTGTATCATTCCCAGAGAGCGCTGTTGTCTTTCAGAAATGTTTATTGTTTCCCCAAGAAGTCCTCATTTCAAATGCAAGTAAGTTGATTACAAAATGGACACTCACGGGAAAGCTGTTCCTTGCACCCTGAGAGAGAGGTTCCATTAAGTCTCCAAACAGCAGGTAATGGTTCAAATATAAGACTCACTCCCTGGATTGAGATGCAGTGGAAAGCAGATTCATGATTAAATGAGTAGACTGAATTTTAGTTACACAATTACTGCTGGCAGTAATATAAGATTGCTTCAATGGTTATGGAGGTTTGATATTACAGAAATATTAAATTCCCCAAAATATTGTAGTCCCGTTTAAAGACAATCTGAGGAATCTGCATATGATTTCTCTAAAGTGCAATTGCTATGTTTAAGGCCCCTATTGTTATTATCAGAGAAGATTGCATTGTGTCCATTAACGCCTGATGGGAGGAAGATTAGATGTAACAATGGTTAATGGAGGTGCTATTACGAGTAAATCTGTCCTGATAATAGATAATGACCTCAGGTGTCAGCTTCCCATCAGAATATATTGACTCCCCAAGGCAGCTGGAGCATAGAAATTTGAAGTCCCTTCCCTAATACAACCAAGAATGTTAGCTTGTAACTTTGCAAACTCTCTTGCATTTTCTTCTGCTCTATTGCCTTCCTCCTCTGGATCAACGCTCTCTGTCTGTTACCATCTCCATACCAGCAAAAGCTGATAATATAGACAGTGTGTAACCAAGCCAGCCTTGGGCTTGGGCTGAGAATGTACACAGATATTATGTAAAGTGATGTGTAGCTGCCAGCAGGAGCAGCATGTGGTGTACCATCTGTACAAAAAGTAAATTACCTGCTTGCCCAAATTTTCATGTGTTTGTATTAATAAACTGCTTTAATTCTTATAACAATGCATCTCAACCTGGAGACGAGGTGATATTAGACACATGACTTAGTGAAGCTGCTCTGTTGTGTCCTGTCTCTTACACCAATTTGCACCCAAATAATTTTTGTTTGAATTTCCAGAAACGCTCCATTGATAATCAATAAATCAAACATGCTATTAATCCCAACCAGCTAACACCTTAATATTACAAAGAATTTGAAGCCCAGAAACAAGTCATTTGGTCTAAATGGTCAATGGTGCTGTATATGTTCCACAGGTTATTCCCCTACATCATTTCACCCTAGCAATTTATCCTGTTTTTCCTGTCTCCTTCATTTACTTTATTCAACTTCCCATTAAACACATCTGCAATACTCATCTCAACCACACTACACAGTAGAAAGTTCCAAATCTAGCCCCTCTCTGAGTAAAGATGTTTCTCCTAGATTTATCATTGGATTTGTTGATGACAATCTCATACGTAACAATTGTTGAAAATAAGTTTTGACAAGGCTTTTTATCTTGCACTCATCAGGACAATTCACAAGAACTACAAATGTAAAGGAAAAATAATTTTTACACCATAGGAGAAGAGAGTGCTGATCAGTTAGCAAGTGATTGGTAGAGGAGAATGGGTCAGTTAGATGATGACTGATGGACAACTGTCAAGCTTTGTTTGAATTTAAACAAGACAGTTTGATTCTGGTTGGCCAAGGCATTGCCTTAAGAAATGAACCAGAGAATGGCCATCAACTGTTTTATTGAGTTGAAACAAGTACAATGTGTGTACCTGCTCTTTCTGCGTAAAAAAGTAGGGTCCTATCTATCAATAAATGTAACTTGCAGTACCCAAAGATTTGCCATGCTCTGAATCCAACTATCTTAAATTGGCTGTCAGACTAATTTGTAGCACACTCAGGATTATTTAGCAATTTTTTCAAGTTGCAGAATCAAATCTAACAATGGGTGGAATTTTATACGGTCCTGAATGATGTGGGCTATGGTGAAGTTTGTGGCAGAATCACATGGGAAATCAGCCTGGCCAACTCAATGTTGGGAGCAACTTGTTATACTTCTTATGCATCTGTCAAACGGTGCAACAATTTCTCACTAGGCAGCAGTGAGTTTATAATTAAGGGGAATTAAAGCTTTTGAAATGCCGTATTATTGCCACAACTCACCTCATTGCTATTCAGCTTCTTATCTTCCCATATTTGCTGAATAAGTAGATGTCAGAATTCTTGACATGGAATCAGAGCAGGTACCTGATGAGTTCAGCACACCGCGAGCTCCAAAGGGTCTCCATGTTTGGACACCAGGCACCAACATCTTAGAGCAATGCTCCATGAGCACTGGCCATATGCACCCATGTTCGCAGACATTACCATCCAACAGGTGTCAGCCTTTAAGAACCTTCATGATGCACCTACAGGACATTTACAACCATCAATACTGTATCTTGGGTTGTATTGGTAACCATCATTGTAACGCTGCAGTGAGGACACTGTGTACTTAGGGGCATGCCCCGGCTCATGAACAGGACTAGGCTGCATCTCTGGTCTGTTTGCTTGCTCTTGATAGCGAGTCAGGGAAGATAGTGTAGGCAGTAGTGAGAGAGGTATGCATGAGCCTTGCTGACAGGTGGCTACAGTAGCAGAGGTAGAGTAAGTGTGAGGAATTGGAGAGAAGATGGTGCCATTTATGCTGATGGAATACAGAAGGTTATTTATCTTATACCCACAGTGCTATGCATTCTTCCAGGAGGCTGAGACTGTTCTACCCTGTTGAAGGGTTGGGGGCATTGGGGGTGGGGTGCAACCTGGGACCACACTGGTACGGTCTGTTGTGGTGGCCTCCAATACCAGTCCTGAGGTAAGAGGACTGAGTAGCATCCCATTCAACAGGGCTTCTGGGTCCTTGAGAGGCTAATTGCCCACAGTCTGCCATGCCAGGGCAAATTTCAGCATCCGTTCAGAGCAGCTCCAACTTGTAGTGTGTGACAAAGACTTTTAAAGATGGCAGTGATGCCAGGACTGCTGGATATCTTGGCAGTGAATGACATTTAAGGATAGAAACAGACAAGCCGACACTATAGGGGCGGGGACTGTTAATGAGGTGAGTTTGGTACAAATGGCACAAAAACACAGTCAGCCTCATACTGAAAAGCCCTTAAAAAGACCCAACGCAATAGGTGCCTCACCAAAACCCTGTAAGATTCAGCCTGAAGTTTAGAATTTAGCAAGCATGGACTGGTTGGATATGGTCAATATCAACAGCCAGAAGATACTTGACAAAATGTGTAAAATTTTCAACAATGTCTCTAGATCTGGCCTCAACTGATAAGGTAACCAACTTTTTAAAAAACGCCTTATTTCTCTTCGTTCATTTTAAAAATTTCTACCTTGCAACTCCAGATCTCAACAGTTCCATCCAAACTTGAAAGAGGACTACACATCTTTAGCTTTCATTTTGTAAGGCTTTATAATTTTGGAATTTTTTTTGGAAAAAGCTTTTCTTCTGGTGGATCAAACAATCTAACTCTTTGCAAGTCTACAAGAGATTGTTAGATGAGTCTTTGTCTGATGTAAAAACCCACCATGTAAAAGTTAAGGGGATTAGTAGGTAACACACACATGATGAACCTGATCTCCCTAACTTTCCTGAGGAGGTCAGAGAGGAATTTTCTAGACCATTTTTCTCCATATTATCTCTGGTTTTCCATTTCTGTGGTCTTCCCAAGAGATTGTGTAGCTGCAGGAGATGTGGGGGATTTGGGGTGACTGCATGAGGGATGAGTGAGTGGGGATCAGACATTGGAAGAGGAGGCCAATGGACTATTTGCTATTTCTGTATGGTAATAGAGTTCTTTGGATCCAATCACTGTGAAATCAGTGCTGGAGGGGTGAGGGGCAGTCAATTAACACATCTTTGTCTTATACAAATGACTGTTAGGGCTCTTGTGGTACAGTGATAGCATTGCTACCACTAGGGCCAGATGGGCTTTGAGTTCAAATCCCACCTACTACAACAGGGTGGTATGATGGCTCAGTGGTTAGCACTGATGTCTCACAGCACCAGGGACATAGGTTCAATTTCATTCTCAGATGACTGTCTGTATGGAGTTTGCACATTCTCCCTGCATCTGCATGGATTTCCTCTGGGTGCTCCAGTTTCCTCCCCCAGTCCAAAGATATGCAGGCTAGGTGGATTGGCCATGCTAAATTGCTCTGCAGGCTGGCTCGGTTAGCTACTGGAAATGCAGGGTAAGAGGGATAGGGTAGGGGGTTGGATCTGGGTGGGACGCTTTTCAGGGAGTCAATGGGCTGAATGGGATTCTATCACATATCTAAACAGACTGATTATAAATATAGCATGGATTCTGTGTTCCATTCAGCAGCATCCTTCTCTATGTCTTTGGGAAGGAAACTCTAAGAATAGGAAACATAAATGCTAAATATATCTCCCACAATTTGCCTGTTTAATTCATTTCATTTTTTCTCATCAAATGCAATATACAATTCCCATAAAACTCAATAAAACAACATTGTGAAGACTCAAGTGCCTATCCTGTGAATAATCTGTTTGCTGAGTGAAAAAGTACTACAATGAATTAATTGGAGCCAAAGAGACCCATCAGTTTCCGATTCCAGCATGTTTAATCAACTTGCAGAATAGTGGTGCATTGTGCCTTTAATGTCTACTCAGTCTCCCAAGCTTTTTTTCAAACCTATCGATTTTCTACCTCCCATTCTTGATGGTGTTCGGCATTTTGGTGAGGTATAATCCTACAGAAGCATTGGTTACAAATTGCTACTGTCCCTTCTGTTATTACATTGACAAAACACATTATTTGTCGATAAGTGCCGCTGAGCCATTTGACCACAGAGTCTGTCTATCTGATCCAGTTGTCAATAGACTCTGGATGGGGCAAATGCAGCAACACAGTGCACATGTCCAGACACCAACAATAGTCAGTACTAGCTAGAGGAAACCTTGGGCAGATTCCTGTCTCGCTACCCTAGAAATTCCAGGACAAATGGCGTCCCATGGAGTTTAGGCCAAAGGCATACACCATCATGCCAAATTACAGGGCAATCCCAGATAATCTGGGACAGTTGGTCACCCTGACTGCATGACATGATAAACTTGAATCTTTTATCTTCTCTTCTTGGAAGACTCCCTCTGTTGACACACATGTGTACAGCAGTCTCAAGTGCACAAAATGTGCAATGCAATTTTCAATACACTACAAATACACTTCCAGTGAGAATTTAGTTCAACATTTGTGACTCACTGAGAAACAAAAGATAGAACGTATCCTTGCTACTTCCAAGGTAACTCAATAACAAATATATCTTATGATGTTTGAGCAACAACTTCTCAAAGCCATACAGCTATCTTGGGACTAGTGTAGTTCAATTAAAATATAAGCCCCAAAGGATAGACCTGATCTATCTGTAAGACCTGATATATGTGGAAGGATATAAAATGGAATCCTGTCTCCGTAACTTGACCTAAATAAAAATTTGAAGCTTCAAAGTGAACATATCCATAATCATGGCAGATAAAGTTCATTCCTCTAAATCATAAATTGTCAACCATTCCAAAGGGGTTTGATGTAATCTCTGTCCGTATAAAACTTCCCTTGGTTCAGAAATCAAATGATACACTTCAATATCCACAGCACTAGTAGCTTGCATGCACAGATTCTTCTAAATGGGAAATTGTATACTGTGAAATGTGACAATACTGTGGCTTTAAAAGGTATGTTTTGTCCTGGTTTCTTTTACAGAGAAATTGGGAGACAGGTGCAAAGCAGTGTATGAGAAGATAAACAAGTTGTGAGGTCTTGGGTTATTTTTTAAAGTTGAAACAATAGAAGCAGCCTGAAAGGGTGTGGTCGAGCTCCCTCAGAACCAGGGATTTTTAGATTAGCTTTCAGCAGTTGCTGTTGAGATCTTGAAGAGATGGGAGCTATTTTTTGCCCCTCTCTCGGTTACAGCCAAAAGCTGGGATTCTCTGCCTACTACTGGAGTTGAATGTGAGACAATCTATATTCTGAATTTGCCTTTTGTATACGGCGTGTTTATAGATGTTACTATATTGGAACAGTTAATTATTGTGTCTATTATTCTGCTGAGTTCCAATAGAGTTAAGTTATTCCAATTCTTTCTTTCTTTTGTTGTATTTTACTTATAGTGGATGATTAAAGTGTGTTTTGCTTTAATTTTGGTAGTTTGATCAATCGAATTGCATCTAGAACATGGCAGCTTACATTTATGTATAAAATATAAAAACGTTAAGTTCTAGACTATCTTCTGAATATTCTGAGGGGGGTTTGCTGTGGTCCATAACTGAAGGAATAATGCCAGCTTCTAGCGTGAGGTAATGTATTTAGGGAGGACAAATGAACCTAGGGAATATATAATAAATAGGAAGAGTTTGAAGAGAATAATGAAAGTGAGAGACCTGGGAGTGAAAATCCACAGATCCTGAAGGTGGCAAGGTAGGTAGATAAAATAATAAAGAAAGCAAATGAGATGCTTTCGTCTATTGGGCAACGTATAAAAAACAAAAACTGTCAAAAAACAGATGACTGCCATGTTTGTAAAACTCAGGTTATTCCACAGCTGGAATTGTGTAGACAGTTCTGGTCACCAAATTACAGGAAGGATTTTATTGCTTTGGAGAGAGTACAGAGGAGATTGACAAGCATGTTGCCAGGGCTTAAAAATTGAAGTGATGACGGAAGATTGGAGGGGTCTGGGGCTTTTCCATAGACCCAAGGAGGCTCAGAGGTGACTTATGAATTAGCTTTATTGTCAAAAAACTCACATGAGTGCGATGAAAATTTTACAAGTCTCCACTTACAGCACCATCTTATTCGAGGTGCGCGAAATTATGAGGGGCCTAGATAGAATAGAAGAGGAAGACCTGTTTTCCCTAGCAAACAGATCAGTTACCAGGTAATTGGTAGATAGGTGAGAGGGGAGACAAGGAGAGACATTCTCACCCAGAGAGTGATGGGATCTGGAATTCGTTCCCTGGTTTGGTGGTGAAGGTGGAAACCATTTAAGCAAAACTTGGCTCTGCACCTAAAGTGCTGCAAGGCTATGGTCCAGTTGCTGGAAAGTGGGATTAGAATGGGAGGCTAGTATCTTTCTCTTGGCTGGCATGATGAACAAATTTACTTCCTTCTGTGCACTATTGTTTCTGTCGCTATGTGGTTCTAGGCTCCACTGTCAAAAAGGATAGAAACAACTGTTGGGCAGGTTTCCATGCATTGGAAAGCAGTGAACAAGAGTTTTTTGGAGCCAATGGCACACCGTGGAGGAAACTTAACTGAAAATTAACTGAAACTTATTCATACGAAGTTGACAGGATGTGAAAACTTATATGAATGCTTAAAATGAAATGGAACAAGGGCTGGTTATTGAAAATGTGGGAATGGGAAATCGGTAAAGAGAAGGGAGAGAAGAATGAGAAGAAGAAGAGGGAGCAGAGGGATGGGAGTGGGAGAGAGAGGGAAGCATTTTGTCGCTGAGTGACTGAAGAGCTGAGTTTTGCCACTAATGAAACCCTGGGTGGCTTTTATACTGTTCAAATACCAATCAGAATGCTTCCTATGAGTTTAGCTCAGCAATATTTTTAACTTTTCAGGAAAAGGTCAAACATTGGTGTTTCCAATGTTTCTAATATAGTTACAAAAGCCCTCGATGCAGCAAGTTGTGTTAAAATTCTGCAGGTAAATAGTTGTGTCATTAAAATGACTGCACTTTTTTTGGAAAACAGTATTTCAAGATTACTGCCTCTTAGTCAAGCATTTATATCAACCGTCTCACAACTAACAGCTTCTTGCTTTCAGTATGGCTTCTGTTCCTCAGTAATCGCAACCAGACTTGTACCACAGAATAGTAAACAGTCAACAGACAAGTTAAGCAATTGAATCGGCTCGATGGACCAAATGTTGAACTTTTTAATTATAATAATCACGTGGCTAGTTTACACCTGAAACAGAATCAGAATTGTATGTTCACTCATAGCAAAGAAGAGCCTAATTTTCTTTGCTTGTTACTTGTTCATGGTGGGACACCAATATTATTAAATGCTGTCTACAGGGAAATATAGGATGAATGAAACTCCAATTGATAAATCAGCTATAAGGACCAAGACAATGTTTTAATGTCTGTAATAACATGCCTTACTGCACCACCTGCAACTGAGATGTTAGAGCTTGAATCCAGCAGTAAGAGGAACGAGCATTTTAACCCTGAGGAATGGAAGTCTTATTTTCATGGAACAAGGTGATCTTCTGGCAATTGACACTCTGGCAACCCCTAGCCAGTTGCTCACTGCTGTCAGAACTTAATCAAATTCTTCAAGGCATTCAACATGGCAAAAATCAGCAAGAATCCTCGAAGCCTGGTAATCCACTTAGAAAGCCATCAATGAACACATAGTGCTAGACCCCATATACACTCAACTGCGAAGGGAAACCGGAAGCGAGGTAATCCAGCTCAACGGACACCAGAGTTTAAACACCAGGCGGGAAAACACAACAGCGCTTCGTCGGAGGCTGCACTGATGATGTTACCCAGCAGGGTAATGAAACATCTGCGGGAAAACAACGAACCAGCTCGGTGAGCCAACGAACCACAACATCCACAACCCAAGCTACAAGTCTACTCTAAAATCTTAGAAATCAGCCATTCCTTGCACCATACACTATAATAAATATCTTTCCTGTCACAAACCCATTAGCAACATGCAGCAGGTTCATTACTACCCCCAAGTCCCCATTGCTCCTGCTAGAAAATCCCCTCAAAAACTCAAGCCACTGTAAAAGTCAGAGGCTAGAATTGAAAGGGTGTCGACAGCAAGTGAAGGCACAATGATCAAACAGTATGAAGATTGTTGGTTATATTGACAAATCTTCTGGGAAATGCACAAAAAGAATTGCAACAAGGTAGAAGGCAGCCAAAGTGAATGAATCGTAGAATATTCCCCAAATACGTGTTTCAGTAGGTGTGGAGAGGAGCTACATGTTCACAAGAGCATGAGCTCAACATGTTGCCAACAAACAGCACGATGGCAGGATTCATCCAGCAGTGAGCTGAGTCTTGGTAATCTAAAGCTGTGGGATCTTAGCCGAAGAGCTCGCACCCCAGCCCCCTCACAGTCTGGCTGCAAGCACAGCTCACATTGCTGCATTGGGGGTTACTGCGAATTCTGCTCACTGCTGAAGGATCAGAGTGGAACAGCCCCACCTGACAGCATTGGCACAAATAAGTCAGGTTCAGAGACACTACAATGGTTGTCTCCTCAGTAGTTCCAATGGTTGCTCACCTCAAGGTTAAATTGTAAAGGATCCACCAGTATGAGACTGATTGCTAGGGTCAAAGATTGCACTCACGAGGAAAGATATGGAAACATAGTCTTTTAGACTTTCGAAGGAGATACTAATGACTGGAATTGGTAGAAGTAAGAAAGCTGGTATATGATATGGAAATGGTACACATTACAATACAATGATAAATCCCCCATTACTGATCATGATTCGTAATCAGTGAGGAAATCAAAGGTTCTGGGGAAAAGGCAGGAAAGTGGAGTTAAGGATTATAAGGTCTGCCATGATCTATTGAATAGCAGACAAGAAATGGCCTATTTTTGTTCCTTTGTCTTACGGTATATTACAACAGTGACCACATTTTTTGAAAAAAGTCATTGATTGCAAAGTGTTTTTGGATGACCTGAGTTTGGGAAAGGCACTATATAAATGAAGGAGATGTTGAGGGAGTGAACACTGATGCTGAGGAAGTCTGGGCCAGTGGTGAGACGAGGAGTTTGAAATATTTAAACATAGTGCCCGGGAGCTGGAGCCTGGTAGGTTTTAGAATCCCTACAGTGCAGATAAAGGCCATTTGGCCCATTGAGTCTGTACCTACCCTCTGAAGAGCATCCACCCAGGCACACCCCATCCCTGTAACACCACAGTTCCCATGGCTAACCCACCTAGCATATACACCCCTGGACGCTGCAGTGCAATTTACCATGACTGATCCAATTAACCTACACATCTTTAGACTGTGGGAAGAAACTGGAGCACCTGGAGGAAACCCATGCAGACACAGGGAGAACGTGCAAACTCCACACAGACTGTCACCCAAGGGTGGAATCAAACCCAGGTCCCTGGTGCTATGAAGCAACAGTGCTAACCACTAAGCCTCTACACTGCACCTAATTCATCATGTGGGAAAAGCTACCCTACATCCAAGGGAGAGTTTCTCTTGCTTTTCAGCGCAACTCTATATTCAACTTCAGAAATGAAAATTCTGCCCAATGAACATGTCAAAATGGCAAAGCAGCTACTATGACAACAAGGTGCAGAGCTGGATGAACACAGCAGGCCAAACAGCATCATAGGAGCTTGGCTGCTGTGTTCATCCAGCTCTGCACCTTGTTGTCTCGGATTCTCCAGCATCTGCAGTTCCTGCTATCTCTGATTCAAAGCAGCTACTTTGTTTTGTAATGTTAAAAATAAATCCATACCTTAACATAGCAGCGTTATTACACTACATTAGTTCAATTCAATTGGTAAAGCTCCACGATAGACTGCACTTACCTTTTGCCAATTAAATAGTTTTCCCTGAGCCCCCAGATACCAGTGGGATTAAAACAGATATCGCTGGAGAAACTCAGCAGGTCTGCCAGCATCTGCAGAGATAGAAACAGAGTTAATGTGTCAAGTCCTGTGACCCTTCTTCAGAATCCAAAACGTTGACTCTGCTTTCTCCAAGAATGCTGCCAGACCTGCTGAGTTTCTGCAGCAATTTCTATCTTTGATTCTGATTTCCAGCAAACGCAATTCTTTGTTTTTGGTTGTTTACCATTAGGATTAAGCTGCCTGTCTGCCATTCAGAGGATGAAGTTCTACTGCCCTCAAGTGGCAGCTCTGTGCCACTGTGTTAATTGGAGACCTTCAAAGTAATTCTGATTACACATAAATTTCTCATTAACTCAGGGAGCCAAAACGAATTTCAAGGGACTGCCCTTATCTATGCACTGCAGATTTCTAGGAAAATGAATTAGCGCTCTTGGGCTTACTCTGAACCAACCCAAGCTTCATCTAGTTTAGTAAATTGATGTAGTTTACAGTGGATTTTTTTCTGTTTGCTTTAAGGTATTATTATGCTGTTGGTTATAAATTGGTGTCACACCTCACAGTATATCAGGATACTTTGCTTATTATCCAGTGGTGCTTCAGGTAGGTACCAATTTACTGTATGCAAATTGAAGGACAACAGCAAAAATTTCATTAGGTTAGATGCTGCAGGCGATAATTATTCATAAATTAATGGTGTCAAAGAAAGATTAGTTTATACAGAAAGCACGTAATGTTGTTTTAAATCTGGATTGTCATAATTTAAAGATAGCACTGCCTGTTACAAGCATACCATAGAAACCTGATGGATTGGAAGCCACACTACAATATTTCTAATGGATACACAAACCAACTTCCATTAAACTCCTGCGTCCATTATTTTAATGAAGACATTAATTTGATTATTTTGAATGAGCTAAAGCTGCAAACAAATTAATGGGTAGAAGAATTTTGTATCTGCATTCAACTGTTACTTAATGATATGGTGCAGCTAGTTTTCTACCCAAATGGCATTTAATAGTTTATGTGTCAATAAACCATATTTACTGCCCAATCTTTATTAATGTAAAAATTTACAAGGGCTAAATTTCTGCTAATTTCTATCATTGGTTTTACACTGTAGTAAAACTGTTATGCCAATGGGTTAAAAACATCAAATAAGCAAATTGAATAACAAATCAAGTTAATGTTTATAATGCTTTAACTTTCAGTAAGTTACTTTTAAAAATGTATTTATGGGATTTGAGCACTGCTGCCAAGGCCAGATTTGTGGTCCTCCTTTAATTGCCCTTGGGGTGGCGCTGGTGAGTCAGCTTCTTCAACTACTGTAGTCCATCCCTGGTTTAGGGACACCCAAAGTACTGTTAGGGTGTTCCAGACTTTTGAACCTATCACAAGGAAGGAACTGGCAATACCAATCCAAGTCAGGGTGGTTAAAATTGAATCAGAGATAGTAGGAAGTGCAGATGCTGGAGAATCCGAGACAACAAGGTGCAGGGCTGGATGAACACAGCAGGCCAAGCAGCATCATAGGAGCAGAAAGGCTGACGTTTCGGGCCGAGACCCTTCATCAGAAAAGGGGGAGGGGAAGGGGGTTCTGAAATAAATAGGGAGAGAGTGGGAGGCGGAAAGAAGATGGATAGAGGAGAGGATAGGTGGAGAGGAGACAGACAGGTCAAAGGGGCGGGGATGGAGCCAGTAAAGGTGAGTGTAGGTGGGGAGTTAGGGAGGGGATAGGTTAGTCCAGGGAGGACGGACAGGTCAAGGGGGCGGGATGAGGTTGGTCGGTAGGAGATGGGGGTGCGGCTTGAGGTGGGAGGAGGGGATAGGTGGGAAGAAGAACAGGTTAGGGAGGCGGGGACGAGCTGGACTGCTTTTGGGATGCAGTAGGGGGAGGGGAGATTTTGAAGCTTGTGAAATCCACATCTGCACCTCCCAGTCGTGAACCATTTCAACTCCCCCTCGCATTCCTCAGACGACATGTCCATCCTGGGCCTCCTGCAGTGCCACAACGATGCCACCTGAAGGTTGCAGGAACAGCAACTCATATTCCGCTTGGGAACCCTGCAGCCCAATGGTATCAATGTGGATTTCACAAGCTTCAAAATCTCCCCTCCCCCTACCGCATCCCAAAACCAGTCCAGCTCGTCCCCGCCTCCCTAACCTGTTCTTCCTCCCACCTATCCCCTCCTCCCACCTCAAGCCGCACCCCCATCTCCTACCTACTAACCTCATCCCGCCCCCTTGACCTGTCCGTCCTCCCTGGACTGACCTATTCCCTCCCTAACTCCCCACCTACACTCACCTTTACTGGTCCCATCCCCGCCTCTTCAACCTGTCTGTTTCCTCTCCACCTATCTTCTCCTCCATCCATCTTCTATCCGCCTCCCACTGTCTCCCTATTTATTTCAGAATCCCCTTCCCCTCCCCCATTTCTGAAGAAGGGTCTAGGCCTGAAACGTCAGCCTTTCTGCTCCTATGATGCTGCTTGGCCTGCTGTGTTCATCCAGCCCTGCACCTTGTTGTCTCAAGTCAGGGTGGTATCTGGTTGAAGGGGAATTTGAAGGTGGTGGTGCTCCCATGTGCCAGCTGCCCTTGCTCTGCTAGAGTGTGTTGGTTTGGAGACACTATGGAAGGAGGCTCAATGAGTTGCTGCTGTGCATCTTGTAGATGGCACACCCCGGTGCCACTATGTGCAGCTGGAGTAGGGAATGAATGTTTAGGTGGTGGTTGTGTATGTAGTATAAGTACTTGGAACCATAAGCCTTTGATCTTGGAACTGGATTTCACATTAGTTCTGGGAAAACAGATATTCTAAAACGCAACTTTTACTGTCTGTCACAGTATGTCAGCATGCTGGCTTCTGTTAACCACACATACAATTATTCCTGTTTATATTAATATAATATATCATGACATTGAACAGAGTGGCCATTGTAATGACCAATAGCACAGTTGGTTTGAGAATGGTGCTAATATCACCAAAGTCATGGATTTGATCCTTGTACGAGCATTTCTTCAAAAATGGAACTTGCTACTATGGGGAGCGGTTAACATGAATATTATGGATGTTTAACGGGAAGGTAGCCAAGCATGAGAAGGAAAGAGAAGGCAACAGATTCAAATGAGGAAAGTAGGGAGAAGGGTCTAGTGAAGCTTGGTCTGAATGGTATGTTTTTATCCTGTGCTTGTAGTCTCAAGATCATTTGTAGTCTTCATCCATGTGAGAAAAATGTTTCCTGATTTCTCTCCTGAATTGCTTTGCTCTAATTTTAAGATTTGGCTTTTGGATTCTCCCACCCGGGGAAATAACTTCTCTTGTGTTTATGCTGTTGAATACTTTTATCATTCTAAACATTTAAATTAAATAATCGCTCAACCTTCAAAGCTGTGGAAATCCAAGTAATGTTTATGCAACCAATCCCCATAACCGTCCATGCTTTAGTATTATTCTGGCGACTCTCACAAAACCAATCCAGTTTTTTAAAAGAACTCAATGTGTGAAGGATTGAACATTCTGACAATGTGTAGCATTTTACAATGAAGTCCATTTTGAACCCTAACAGGGTAAGATTAAAAAATTCAGGTAGAGATTGTTAGCCTTCAACTGGGACAGTTCAGAGGAGGTGCCACCATACTGTTAGTGAAGACCCATGGTACTTCATGAGTAACCTTATTTAGCCTTTGAAATACTTTGAAGAAAAGAAATATATGTTTAGATTGCTGTGTTTACATGCCGTGTTTCATATATAATAGATAAACAGCAAATGTAGAGCTATTTAGAAAGTAGTTGAAGCATTAAAATTTCTTTGCAGAGTTGGACAAAGACCTGAGGAATACAAGATTGAAGTTTTACTACTGCAACAAAGGTTTAATTTCAATGCAGCACATTGAAACTGGAACTAGGGGGCATAGACACAAAATAAGGGGGAGCACATTTAGGACTGAGCTAAGGAGGAACTACTCCAAAAGGATTGCAAATCTGTGGAATTCCCTGCCCAGTGAAGCAGTTGATGCTACCTTGTTGAATGTTTCTAAGGCAAAGATAGATAGATTTTTGAACAGTAAAGGAATTAAGGGTTATGGTGAGTGGGTGGGTAAGTGGAGACTGAATCCACAAAAGTATCAGCCATGATTTTATTAAATGGCGGAGCAGGCTCGAGGGGCCGGATGGCCTACTCCTGCTCCTAGTTCTTATACGGATGGTTTTCATCATGAATGTGGACGTACATTTAATATATTAAATCTATAACATAAAAGTGACTGCAGTAAGTAGAGTTTTGAAGATAAGTGCTCAGTGGTACAAGATTTTTAACATGTTAATACAGAGATGTATTATTCCTTATATACATATGTAAAATAGGCACTATATTTTTCTATCGATGGACTTATTCTATTTTGCAACATGCGATGAACTGACATCCTTTGTGCCAGTATTAACATGCTTGCAAATTACCCCACTGTATCCCACCCCATTCCCAACTCCAAAAGACTTTGACATCTCACTGGAGTGTTTCCAAAGGCAACAGTTGACTCTGTGTTGCCTTTCCAAAGTGGCTTCAGCCTTAAGCTGGATACTGCAAGAGGCAACACTGCTAAGACCCATTCTGTCCTCACCTGCCATTCCATATATGCAGCACTCCAAATGAGATGGGGTGAGGGAGGAAGTTGGATAGCAAGCAGGAGTAGGAACCTGGAGCTCCAGAATTGGAGTGGGACTGATTGTAGTGACTATTTCACTCCTTTCAACTAGCTTAGGACATTGGCCACTGGGGACTGGGAACCTGACAACTCACTTGTGCAAAATTCCCGTACAATCCAAACAGTCTCCGTAGAAGTATTCCTGAAACAGTTACAAGAGTGTCTGCAGGCTTAATAAACAAAGATCGCTCTGATCTAGGAGTCAAGTTTGAAAGAATACTTTAGAAAAAAAGAAGTCTTTGCAGACATAAAATCTACTGCTGGAAAAATATTGAAAAGTAAGAAATGATTAAATGGCATTTTCTCCAGCACAATTTGCAATAATTTGTTCAACTGGTTAGGTGTTATGTACAAGCAATTAAGTATATCTCAGATAGTGTCTGCTTGTGCAACTTAATACAGTGTAAAACAGATGTGCAAAAGATAAACAGCACCAATCAAACAGTGATATCCTCATAATTATCTGTTGCATTAATCTGCATAATGAAATAACTGTAAAGAACAATTTCAAAAATTAAATCTATGCTCTGCCTGGGAGACCTCTCAAAG